CTTTATTCTCACATTGTTTTATGAATAAAATGTCAATTTATAGTTACATCAATCCAATCAGCTACCCTTAATTTTCTCCATTGTGCTTCTTCTCTCCTAATTGTCAAAAAAAAAAAAAAAATCAAAAAGTGAGGGTTAATTTCTATGGGCTTTTCTTAATGACATCATTATAAACATGCTAAAAGAATAAAGATTGAAATGTTCTGTATTTCCAAATATTATGATTTTTAAAGAAGTAGGAAGGAGATATGAAAGGTCATAGTTGCAAGAAGTTTTATAGCATTAACAATGGCTTGTTGAGCATGGGTAAATATTAACTTAATAATCTGAATTGAGCAGAGGTACAAAAAACCAAGGTCAGTAACTTCATTTATCTATTACTTGTTTGTGTTTATACCAAACTACAATAAAGTAACATAGTCAGCCTAATTTATTTCTAAATCTTTAACAATATAGAACATCTCAATAAGTAACGATCATGATAACATTATTAATATATTCATAAAAGTTATAAGAAATGTTTTTGCAGACCTGTGTTGGAAATTGATCTGGAATGCAGTTTATTCTCTCATTAGCGAGATCGTTTACATCTGCTGGACATTTTCCTGAAGCAGAGGAAGTGGAATCTGAAAGTGAAGTAAAGGATGAGAAGTGGACTGCTAAATAAAATGTGTTATCAAATATTTCCATAGTTTTTGTAAAGTAGTAAATAGCCTAATGAAGGATAGAAATACTCAGAAAAGAGTCATTAAACATTTCAAGTATTGATTCATCATTTAATTCCCTTTATCATACAAACTCTTTCTCTTAAAAAAGCACCTGAACCAAGGTAGAGTACTTACTTCATTAACACACCCACCACACAAATTTCTAAGCACCAGAGCATGATGCCGAGAGCATTAGGTTTCCTCATGAATGAGAATACAATGGTAGAGTGGGCATGGATGCACCTTACGTTAGCATCCTCATCTTCAAGTCCCTTTCTTTTTATTCAGTAACTTAGGCACAGAAGTCCATTAATGACTAAATACATGAAGCCCTTAATTGAAAAGCCTTTTCATTGTCATAAACAGAACAGAAAGGATACAAAAAGTTGGACAAATTGTGTCTTTTGCTATAGATCTTTCTTCACAAGCTTTAGGTCTCAGAGATCAGTTTTAAACCCACCAACACAATGGAATAACTTTTTCTTAACTGCATTACAATATATAAATAAAAGTTCTTACGATTACTTACCATCAACTGCAGGTGTTCTAGTTGCTAAAACAGCAATGAGGGCAATAGCTATTATTGTAACTATGACAAAGAGGACAATCAGAAAGATTTCCAGGCTACTGAACTTCCTTGCCATCTAAAGAAAGAAAACAATTTTTTTAAATGTATGATAAACAGCTGCAGTATACCATTGTCTTTGAATGATAGATATTACTTGTTTTGCTAAGTTTGATGCAGAGTAGCAGGTTTATCACTTTAAAATCTAATCTGAGAGACACTGAAAATGTGCAAATACAAAGGAGCAAATTAATGATGCATTTTACATAGTACACTCAGATAAAAACACAGAAGAAAAATATTTCTAAGAGGATATGTCTTGCCTTCTAATTGTAAGTTATTTCTTTAGGTCAAGGAAGCCTTACACTTGCACTATGTCCTTTAATTTTCAAAAATTTTTATACTGTAAAGGAGATGTTCTTATTTATTACATTTTACCAATCAGGATCTTCACACTGAAAGATAGTAAGCTAAATTTCAAAATAAAATAATCGACTTCTTTTTATCCTAACACATATTTGTGTCATACAACACTTTAATATAACTATGTTTTAGAAAAGAATATATACATAACAACTCTCACATGATTTAATGCATCTATTCATTTTCAAAATATGGTCATATTAAATAGTGTTAGAAGATACAAATATCAAGTTAAATACAACAACACACAAGTGTGAATTTAAATATTCAAAATATTTCAAACTACATGGTTAATAAGTTTTTCCTTTAAATAATAAAATGTGCCAAACACTCCTATCAGTAAAATTTTGGTTTTTTCTTTCTTCTTCTTCTTTTTTAATGTATTTAGTACAGACTCTAAATAGTACAGGGTACTAGTTCTTGTAGTGATCATCTTGTTTTCAGCCTCCCAAGTGCTGGGTTAACAGGCAGGCACCAATCAGTCGCTGTCTCAGCATGCCCCAGGGGTGGGGTCAGCACAGCAGGCTGGGGATCAAACCCTTGTCCCTGTGTCTGCCTAAGCAGGAGCTTTAATCGGCTGAGCTATTTGGCCAGCCCAAAATTTTCTCTTTTGGTACTTGGAATTAAATCCAGAAAATTCACATCACGACATATCCCTAGAACGTTTTTATTTTCAATTTTAAGAAGAGTTTCACTAAGTTGACTGAGCTCGAATTGAGATCCTCCTGCCTCAGTTTCCATGAGCACTGGGATTATGGTTCTTGTGTCACCTTGCCCTGTCCTTATATTTTTATAACATTAAGTATTGGAGATATCATGCAGAAAATATCTGTATATAGGTTAGCAAAAAATCCTTTTCTAATAATTTTCTGAAATCTTTTTTAATTTTGACCATATATTTTCATGCTTTTTCCTAGTGTTCAAGTTTCCATAGATTTTTTTCACGATATATCCAAGTCAAAATTAGAATTTCCATAGTAAATTATTTCACAAATTCTGATTTTAAAAATCTTTCTTTAAAGTTGGATGTGTTGACCCACATCTCTAATTCCAGCACAATAATCAGGAGACTGAGGCAGGAGGATCACCATGAGTTCAAGGCCAGATAGGGATATATAATGAGTTCAAGGCCAGCTTGACTATCATAGGGAGATTCTGTCTCAAAAGCAGAATAAACAAAATCCTTTTTCTTTCTTTCTTTCTTTCTTTCTTTCTTTCTTTCTTTCTTTCTTTCTTTTTTTTTTTTTTTTTTTTTGGAAAAGGGGAGTTATGGTGGTCCCTCCACCTATAACTGTTGGTTCTTTTACCTAATTATTTCAAACTAAAATAACTTTTTTCTCCCCCATATTTTTCTAGCACATTTAATAAGCCCTATGAATTTTGTCTCTGTAATGTTTTCAGGATTATAAAGTCATCCTACCCGTGAATCTGCAACACATCTTTTGGATAACATCTTTCCTTTTCTGTGCTTATGGCTTTTCATTCAATCTCTGCCCAAACACTTTTCTGCATTAATTTTGATTTTGACTTGGTCAAATATTCTGGTTTCTGTGAACACACCAGTGCTCTTGCAGGCAGAATTAAGCTGCCTTTTCTGTGTTTTATAATAGCACACAGCATACCTATTGAAATTATGTATTCTGTGTCAGTTTCCTTGATTAGATTATTATATTCTTAATGATGAAAATTCTGAGAGTAGTTCTGAAGCTGATACTGAATTAACACAAGTTTAATTTTAAATATACTATACAAATGAAGAATATTGCTTTGAAACTCTATTTTATTGCTATTTTTACATGTTGCTCTTCAAAGTAAGTTTTTAATTTGAGCATACCATTTTCTGTGATAGATATGCAAACTTAACTATGTATTATTTCAGTATAATTCAAAGAGACTAAATAGGATTCTTTTTTTTAAGTTTTGACTCTTTTTCTTTTTCTTTTCTGTTTTTGTTATGTTTTGTTTTTTGTTTTTTGTTTTTTGTTTTTTGTTTTGGCAGAACTGGGTTTTAAATTCAGGCCCTTGCACTTGCCAAGCAAGTGCTTATTCTACTGAGCTGTCTCCCTGGCCCTTAAATAGGATTATAAACAAACAAGAATAGATGCTATAAGAAGTTCATAAAATAATAAATCAAATTGTTCAATGTTATACCAGAAATAAAGTTACATTTAATGAACAATTTTAAATGAATATAAGGCTCACTTAAAGCAAAATCTCACTTTTATTCATGGAGACAATGGTACAACTACATATTTTATTTTTAAAAAGGAGACCAGAAAAATGCACATTATTAAGGCACAAATCCCTCTTTATCCAGAAAACGAGAGGCCAAAATTAAATTACTACTTTAAGTACTTAGAAAAGGAAAAATAGAAATTATTTATTCTATGGGTGACAATTTTGGTGACCATATCTTATAATAATGCAAAGCAAAATTTATTGTAGAAACTTCATATTGATACCTTCTTCAAAATTAATATTAGTTTATTAGATGTTAGACAAGTGACATTTAAAAGTTGAGATGCAACATCAAGAGCTTTATAAATCTGGCATTTTGTTCTGCCTAAGCATTCTTAAACAAAATATAGTTCATTATACTTAGCTGGAATGCCCCTGTGCTTTTTGAATGCTATTCTGAATTCTACTTTCCTCTATTAAAACCTACTAGGATCCCACCTACATTTGACAAAAATTATATTGAAGACCTGGAAAAGAAAATATTTTCACATCTCTGTGAATTTGGAATTATTTTCTATGACTTCAGTCAAAGGGTACATACATACATAAATTGGAAATTTTAAAACATTGTTGGACAATTATAATCACAAGCAAACATGAATATTGCTAATGAGAATTAAGGAAGAACACACTCATTTAGAGCATGAAATAACAAATATGATTTGTGCTCTTACCTTTTTTCATAGCCTGTTCTATCTGCTACACTGCAGCAGGGCTAGATGGAGCTGCTAATGATCCGGAAGAAAATTGCTCAGGTATATATTGGCCTACTTGTAAAGTTTTATTGCACTCTCACTCACCTATCAGTATTCAATATTCTTGTGCTCAACACGCAAGTGTTAAGAATCTTAACCTTGAAAGTAATTTGTATAAATACTCTTCTCTGGAAATATAAGTTAATTAGTAACTCTTCTCAGCTTTTGATTTCTGGAAAAAAGAACTATCTTAAGAGCATAGGAGCTATTCCAAAGATGTTTTCTCTCTTCAGAACTGCATTTCTTTTCATTATTTGAACACTGTTTTAATAACAAAGATAAGATTTGTAAAATATTCATAGAAACTAATGATTATGAGGTGATATTTCAGTAAAATTGAATGATAAAATAAATGTTAATTACATGGCTTGTGGTTAACTTTATAATTGAAGAACTGAGAAAATGTAAAGATGAAAATATTAAACAAGAGATAAAGGTATTACTAATTCAAGATTAATATTACATTTTATTTATCTCTATATTAAGTTCATCACTAATTTACCAAAAATCATTTTGTAACCACTGCTAAGTTCATAAATGAAAGTTTATAGTATGGACAGCACTAGTAGTTTCAGCTCATATGTACTTGAGAACTAAAGTTGTGTTGCACGAGATCTGGGTGTGAGTGCTCACTGGACTATGTGGTCCTGAGAAGCCATGTATAAATTTGTGTATTTATTTAAGTCTACATGTCTTTGTCTAGAAACCATTAAGAAAGTTGTCTATGATAGGATTCCTGAGGGAATTACATGAGCTACTGTAGTCTAAGATTACTTTCACAGCTTTGCAATTACAAAGAGAGTCCAACTAAGTCCTGAAATAGTGGTTCAGTTCTATATTCCACCTGTCACTGCCTCGTCAAAAATAAATGGATAGTAAAATACGGTGGTCCTGAAAAACAGAGGAGCTCACATCAAAGGCCACCTGGATAAATTTAGAGAAAATATCAAAGGACTACATACCTGAATTACTATTAGTCTCAGAGGAAGCATAAAGAACTTCCTGTTACATGAAAATTGATTAGAATAATGCAAGAATGGCCTCAATGAACAGAAAAGTGAGCTCGATGTAGGCTAATTTATGAGTAATTTGTTCTCTACTCATGGATGATATAATTATATCTGTAGAGAATTCCATTTAATCTTCCTAAATCTAGAAACAAAATATGAGTATAGCAAGATGACAAGCTATCAGACCAATACACAGAAGTTAAGCAAGTTCTTACACAAAGCAATGAGTTGTGGGAAACTAAAGCTAAAATGCAGAGAAAGAGATGTAAGTGGTTAATGTACAAGCATTTAGAATAGCACCAAAATGAGACATGGGCATGAATCTTGAAAAACATACAGAATATCTATTCTGAAAATTTGAAAATATGAATGTAGTATCTCAACTAAAATCCAAAGAAAAGAAGATATACTATGTGACAAAGTAAGGCCTTGTCTCAAAACACCAAAAACAAATAAACAAAATTTAAAAACAGACATTGTTTCCAACTTTCTACATCTTTAAATTGAAACTCTGTCAAGTTTTAATTAGCTCTCTTTTATATATTTTTATGTATATGAATATTTTAAGTAATAGTTTTATTCTTCCAATTAAAGACTGTCTATGATTTAAATTTTTGTATCTTTATTTTTTATCTTGATCTCACTACGTGGTG